GCAAGAAGATAAAACATATTAACCATCTGGGAGGTGCTGTGATGCTGTGATAAGAGGGGCCATGCAAGAAACTTAGATAAACAGTTTCAAAACTCTCAGCTTTTTGGTGCTTTCTCTTCCACGCTCGGCATGCTCCGTGATTTCACACAGCCAGCTTCAGTCCTGTTTGCTCAACAGCTTCCTGAGCACCAGAGGTTTCCAAAATCCCAACTCACAGGCCTTCCCTCAAGTTGCCAAAGGTCGTGATCTTCCCAGTTTGCAGCCAGTGTTTACAAGGGGGTGAGCAGAAATCTCCATTCCACAGTGCTTTGACACCTGCTGACATGGGGGTTTACCCTTTTTACAGTTTTTACACTTTTTACACTTTGAGCATGAGGACATCTGTGTCATTTCCCAGTTGGATCTCCTGACCACAATATTCACCCTCAGAGCACACCACAAGCGAAGCCTTCTCCAGAAATGTCACATCTCTAATGACTGCGAGCTCTGGTTTGCCCATCAGCACTCGAGTGGATGTTTTAGGAGCATGAGGGAGTATTAAAGATAAATCATCCCCCAAAAGCCGGAGAAAAAGAAACCCAGTCCTGTGAATGCTTTCTAGGATCAGTGGTTGAAGCTTTCATAGACACCAAAGAGCTACGAGGTGACATGAAGTCACTGCAGGGAGATGTAAACAACCCATGAAAAAAACATTGCATTTCAAAAGATAGGGCACTTCTAAGGCCACAGCATTCTAAGCAGAATTATCTGATGCCAGCGCTGTTTATTTGCCGTCTGAGGTCTCACATGTAGGGCAGCCACAACTTATCAGAGAAGAGTTGTCACCTATTTAGAGAAAAGCTTTAAGCTAACAAATTCTTGCGCTCTGGAGATACCAACCACATGTGAGGATGGATGGGGCTGACCATGCTCATTTTCCACTCGGGAGAACAGTTACCAGCACCACCTTCCTCAGGATTAATGCCAATCAAACGGAGAAGGAAGAGATGAGCCTGGCAGGATCCTGACATTCCAGCTGTATCCACTGCACTTATATATACGCAGCTAAACATTTCATAGATTGAGCAACTTCAAAGCAACACATCACCTGCTGAATTAACCCCCACTTCCACCCTATTAGAGGATGCTTAACAGAGTAAGAAGCTTTCAGCAATTCGGTTGTCATGCACGCTGCGAGGCACTGCAGAAAAAAAAAATCCAGCAAGAAAACGGTGTGAACTATTTTTTCAGTGTCTGAAATGACTTTGCTGATGGGTGAGTGTAGTTCTGCAGGTCCAGATGACATAAAATACCCTCCTGGCCCTTTGAAAAACCTGTGAATTACAGTTAAACGAGCCCTAATAGCTTGTTGCTTAACATTAGCTACGGAATTGTGTTGACACATAAAGAGTGGAAGAGTCAACTCATGTTGTGTTGCTCAGCATTTACCCTGTGCCAGCCGGGAGCATGCTCAGATAATTCTGCCTAAGTAGCTACAAAAACAGCAGAAGTCGGGGGAAAAAGCTCCTGTGAAATTTGGCACCGTTCCAGCTCAGTAGCTTAATGATTCCATTTGATATTCAAAACAGGCAGGTGGAAAATTATCCAGAGACACACCATCGTGTTCTGCCTGAATAAATGCAAGAGGGACTCAAATACCACTTTGGACAGCAAGTCAATTTAAATCTAAGCGTTTTCCTATCGATCCTCCATTTTTTCCTGGAAAATGCACATGCTGTTTTGCTGTGGAATAGACCTGTGTGTCTGAGGGCTTGGAAGGGGGTGTTAATTTAGATTTTCCTCCTCACGCAGTGGGATTCAAAGGGCATCCAGCTCGTTTTGCCATGCCAGCCTGTCGTTTTATTCCACCTGGCCTCCTGTGCAAATAAAATCACCCAGTGGGTTTGCAAGGTCTGCTCACAACAGTGTTATAGCTAATTCCCTGCAGAAGCCATGGTGATGCTAAGCAGAGAGAGCATGCTCAGAACTGCATCTCACCTGACATCCAAAAAACATTACAGACCCTGATTCTTGAGGTCACCTCCTCCTGAAGCAAGGTGGGTTTTCCTCCGTACATTGTCACAGACGTCTTTTATGGAAAATCCTTTCCTTAAGATTTTTCCTCCTGAGAAGCTGAGAGGCCTCAGGAACAAAATGTAAACAATGGTTATCTGCTGCTGTGGAATGCAACAGGTGCATCTGTGATTGGCCCATGTTGGTTGTTTCTAATTAATGGCCAATCACAGTCAGCTGGCTCAGAGAGAGAACCGAGCCACAAACCTTTGTTATCATTCTTTCTTATTCTATTCTTAGCTAGCCTTCTGATGAAATCCTTTCTTCTATTCTTTTAGTATAGTTTTAATGTAATATATATCATAAAATAATAAATCAAGCCTTGTGAAACATGGAGTCAGATCCTCGTCTCTTCCCTCATCCTCAGACCCCTGTGAACATGGTCACAGTACATCCAGCCCAGCCCCTGCACAGAGTGACCTCCAGACCCAACACAGCACCAGCCCCACAGGCTGCACAGAGCCAGGGGTTGTGTCAGTGCCTCTGACACTGCAGTGTCCATTAGAAAGATGCATTAGGCTTTATTGTAAACAAACAGGCTGTGCTACAAGGAGCTGTATTTCAATTACTTAAGCCCTAATGCCAAACTTGCTCTGTTTCAGAAGCAAGATAATACAGCACTGACAAAGTATATTATCCTTGCTTTTCAGTAGCCACAGATAAGTATCACTATGTCACCGTAAAAAAATGTGCTCAATTATCCTATGTTGTTATTACTTAATCTGTGTTTCAAAAAAAGCTTTAGACTGAAAAGATGTTAGATAAAGGCTAAGTATTGCAGATAAAGGCATTGCTTCACTGAATATATGCTGTAAAAGCATGAGCTGTGGTTCCACACATTCAAATGAACCAGGCTCCTCTCAGCACGTTCCAGTACTGGCAGAGGCACAGGCTTGCACAAGAAGGTGGTTTTGGAGCCCTAAGAGCAAAATGCAAAGGTAGGCTGGGGAAAGAGCCTGGTCCATGTCAGGGAGAACATTTTCAAAGACTTCCAGAAGGCTTGGCTTGAATCTCCTCCCCAGCCTATGGACACTGGGTCCCTGCTGAGGTCTGTCCTGGCACCTCACGTACGACCAAACTGAAAGGGGATGGCCCAGCCTGAGGCTTCCCAAGATGAACAAAGGGGCTTTATCCAGAAGACCCTGGCCACCAGCTTCTCATTCTCTCCACAGTCACCAGCAAGAAGTAGCAGGGCTCTGGATGCTGATGTTTGGATTCCAGCTGCAGCCCTGTGTCAGTGCTGCGTGCTTTAATGGCCCCAGAAAATGAGCCCAGCACACTGAATTGACGACAAATTGATTGAAACCAGATGTCGTGAAAAAAGTCTTTTCCAAGTTCAATGGCACATGAATGGTCTCAGCCTGCCCTCGGATAATCTGACTTCTGTGCCCCAGTCTGCCACAATAAACTAATTGGGAGGTTAATATTTTGTCTCTGCACTGTGAACTCCTTGGGGAAAGGAGCTTTTTAATTGCATATACAGCCCATGACCTGGTAGGCTCTAAATCTCACTGGGTGATGGGGAAAGTTATAGTGGGACCTCAGCTGAACACCCTGAGCTCATGTTACTGTCTGGATTAGCAAAACTCCAGACTATTACATTGTCTGCAGTCTTCAGGCATTGCTGGGAGTTTGGTTTCCCCACTGAGCTAAGCTCTTTTTTGGCATAGTCAAAGGAAGACAAACAAAACACTGCAGGTACAAAGGCACAGGAGGAAAAGCAGCATCAAGCTGTTGTTTGGCCAAGCCAGCAGATGCATGGTGGCAATATTGGCTTTGGAGGAGAGCAGAGGTGGCCAGAGCCTGCACGCCCAGGTCTCGCCACTTTGCAGAGCTCATCACAGCAGATATATTTACACTGGATACGCCTCATTAACACACCCTGCCAGAGCCAAGCTTGCACCCTTCAGCCTGCACATGCAGAGCAAGACCACAGTTTGGTCAGCTTGTGCTCTCCAAGGCAGATAAAAATGACCTCAAAAGCCAAGCTTGATTCATGGACTGCCATCAGAGGGTCCCTGGGAGGATGAGTGATTGATCCTGTTTACCTTTGGCACAGCAAGGCATTTAACATCAGGTTGGGAGAAGCTTTGTAGTTGTTATTCTAATGGGCTTCAAGACAGAACTATTTGTTTTGGAGCGTGATAAGACTTTTCAGACCACTGGGCAAGGCTGTGAAAGTCTATCACAGCACATGTGAAACTACAGCACTAAATATGCTCTGCAGAGCATTACCAAGAAAACCTGCCCCTGTTATATTTCCTTGTCAAAACTACAAAAAGCCCAACAAATCCTGCAGCGTTCAGCTCACATCTCTTCCAAAAGCTGGGGGAAGAAGCCTGCAGCTGAGGTATGGCTGAGGAAAGGTTGAGAGCAGACTCTCCTGGTGACTAATGCAGCCCAGATAAGCATCTAGATGCTCGCTAAAACATACAGTATCACACGCAATTAAAGGCTCCTTCCGAGATTTTGCAAGCAGCCAGTAACTCCTACCCAGCCATCTGCCCAGAGAGGGCCTCTGACTTGTCAACCAATCCATTTCCCCAGTGCCACAGGCTGGGTGATACCGATCTCTGCTGTGTTTTCTTACCAGAGCTTTGATGTACAATCTCCTCGCAGCAGCAGCCCCCTTTAGGGAACAAAGCCCTGCTCTAGCCCGGCTCCTCACCAGTTGTCCAGGTATTAGGTTCTTTTTTCCAGCTTCAGAGCAGCCCTATCACTAACCTTTTCCACTGACCTTTTGCAGGGAACCTTCTGCTCTTGGCCATCTGTGTCCTCCCCTTTTTCTTTTCAAGCATTCACCTGAGCATTTGCAGCAGGCAATTACACACACACACACACTGGTTTGCATCAGTCACAAAAGCTGTGAGCCTCCAATTAACCACCTCATGCCTTTTAATGATACAACGCTGAACAAGGAAGAGAATTAGAGGGAGCATCCTCAGAAGTGGTTTGCAGCAGGACAGAGCTGTCTTTATTATTGTTTGGATGAGGGCAGCACCTAGGAAACTCAGCTAGAGGCTGTGAAAACAAAAGGAGAACTTGGGGAATTAATTGAATACAGAGAATTTACAGTCTACAGGACAAGACAGAGTAGGTGGGTGAGGTGTAGTGCAATGAGAACACAATGATTTTCTAAGGATCAGAATAACCTGTCAGCATCCTTTTTCTAAGGATCAGAATAACCTGTCAGCATCCTTTACTCATCAGTGCCAAGTTCCTGTGTGCTCTCTCCTCAAAATCACTTAAAGAGTGTGAATGCTGGCACAGGGCTCAGTAGCAAAGGCAAATGTGCCTCTGACTCCCAAAGCCCCACTCTGGAAGCACAGGGCAATGCCTTGTTTCTGTCTGCAAGAGATACCTGGAGATACTGCACCTGCTCAGAAGGTTTCAGGCAAAACAGCATTTCAGAGGAATTCACCAATTCAGCAAAATCTCAGCAAGGTGAGTCAATTTTGCCCAGGTTCCCATGAAACTTGCAGAGGGCTCCAAACATCAGAAACCTGCTGAGTTTCCTGCCTGGTCACCCATCTGGTTCCTCCAGCGTTCAGGTTTCCAGGGCCCTGGGGCAGCCTGCTGCCAAATAGAACTGCTTAGCAAGAGGGGATTTCAGTGCTCCCACACTTCTCATCTTGGGATGTCCCAGACATTGGACCGCCTCGGGCAGGAAACACCAGAGAATGCACAGATGGAGAACCCAAGAAACCCAGTAGAGAGGCTGAGAGATCCGTGGATCAGCTCTTGAGACAACTCACAGTGCAAGCTGCTGCATTACTCCCTTCTGCAGAGTTTCTACCTGCTTGTGTTCTGCTCTACTTTGGCAGGAATTCAGCCTAGTTTCATCAAAACTAAACTTTTTCCCAAACCATAATCTCCTATTTAAGCCCCTTCCTAGCAGACACCCTCTCAGGACAGCTCATTTTCCTCTCACATCAGTCTAGTTCCAGCTGCTCTCAGGTCAGGGGCAGAGATTTGTACATCCTGTACAGCCCACCAGGAACATTGCAGGGATATACAAATCAGCCAAATCTAAATTATCTGCTCTGGAAGACAGATGATATGAATAATCTTACAGTCCCATGAGCTCACCATGGGAGGAGAATGAGGTAAAATCTCTGTATTTTTCCATCTAATGGAAATGTTTGATCTGCCTGCGGACTGCACACCTGATATTGTAACTACAGTGTTGTGGGGCTTAGAACAGTTCAGCATACTCAGACAAAGGAAATGGGGCAAAAAGAAGAGATTCACTTGGACAAATCACTGCCTAAATGACATTTATTCTGTGATTTGCTAGAAAATATGGGGACAGATTCCGGAAAGATTTATATGAAGCAATACCAAAACAAAAGGGACTGAAAGATACTTAAAAGTGTCTTGTTCTGCTTGATGTAACACCAAACATTTCTCACTGCTCATGGACCAAATGACAGTAGCAGGACCACTGTGCACAGGCATCTTTACTCACCCTGTTTAGCCACCAAAAAGCTGCACTGGGAGCCTAAATTTATCTTTAGTGTGAGAAACACGTTTCTGGGAGTCTGTTGTTCCCAGGACATACCTGCAATGTGTTGAACAAGCACTGAGGCTCCTCCGTGGGATGCAGCCGGACATGCTGGGAAAGCCGAGAGCTCCCGAGCACACCATGGGGAAATTCTCCTGGGAAACATCTGTGGGAGACACTGACACCAGCTGAAGGGTTATGTAGGGCTTGAGCAACAAACCATCTGTCAGGGCCTGCTTATTAGGATGTTTACTCACCAAACTGGCCTTTTCATCAGTGCACCAGAAGCAGTTTCTGAAAGCAGCCCTGACCACCAAGAAAACGGGCTCAGAATCAGGCAATAGGAACAGGAGTGGATCCAGCAGCCAGAGGAAGCAGTTTCTAGCACAGGGACACTTTGTTTGTCCATTTTGCCATCTCTCCTTGCTGTAGATATGTAAATCCTTGCTGTAGATATGTAAATTATTTTGGTTTTTAGATGAATGTCAGTGAGGATCTTTTGGCAGGACAAAAGGCCTTTTGTTTCCTTGCCCCACACAAATCCATTAACTCTGATATACATTTAGGGAGGGTGATTTATTATTTTTACTTTGCTGTGTTTCCTGTCCATTCTATGATGCTTGTGTTGAGTAGCTAATAAAGGGTGGGAACACAACAGAAAGAAAACACTGCTCTTCACTTGCCTTTTTGTTTGTTGTTAAATATGAAATTAATTGTGTGTTTCATATTTCTGTAATGAATAATTACCATCTTCATGAGCCCAAGTAACCTACCCAGGGTGATAGTGGGCATCTGCAATGGGCCCAGGGGGAGACACATGCTCTGAATCAAATGTCAGTGGCTCAGCAATAAAAGCCTCTCTCAGGGCTCAGACCATCCTTCAAAGGCAGCAAGTCTCACCATGGATCAACACAGGAAAAAGAAAGCAGCAGGAACCACAGCAGAGATCCCTATCTCCATGGCAGGGAAGGGGAGGGGAAGGAAAGGGAGCTTGTCACTTAACAGCAATAATAAACACTTCTGAGTGTGCTTCCTCCTCTCCCTGCATGAGCATCTTCACCCTAAACCCTGATGGGCTTCAGGTGGGATCAGTCAGATCCAAGCCTCTCAATCCTGATATTCCTGTCAGAGTAAAATACTTAGGGGTAGCTGTGGATTGTGCAGCTATAGGGCTGTTCCCACAGTGTTGAAGACAGTGATGTGTTACCTCCATGTGTTTGTTGTGCCACACAAATCACTCAGAAGACACCTGTAAAAAAACATGGATGTGTTGCAGATGAGAAGAGGATCACATCTCTTCCTTCCAAGCAACTGAACATCAAGGAAAACACTCTCATGAGGTGTTTGACAGGAGAAACAAGCCAGAACTTCACTTTCATTCAGCACTCAGGCTTTAATGCCAAGCCACAATTTATTTCACAAGGAAGAAAAAAAAGCAGTAAAGGAAACACTTAGCAGGATGAGCACGCTGTCTGCTGTGGCCTGGGGGCAGGAAGGTGGCTTAAGCAAAGGCAGGGATCAGGAAATCCAGGTCAGTGGCCAGCACTGCCCTTGACCTCCCTGCCCACCAGGTGGGATGGCTGCTCCTGGCACAGCTCCTGTGGCTCCTCTGCAAGCTGCTCCAACAGGATTTACAGACCTCTCTCTTATCAAACCTGGTGGATTTCCTCTCCCACTCCTTTCCCAGCCCTTGCCCTGCACTGGGAGATACAGAGAATGATGCAGCACTGAGGACTGACCTTAGGTCTAGAACGAGGAGACCATCACCATGATTCTGCTTTCCAAGACTCTGGATTTTTAGCAAACACCTACTCTTTCCTGAGTCCACCTTCCCCAGAGGAGAGCAACTCCAGGAAATCATGTCAGTCAAGAGGCCAGGAAAGAAAACTGCAATGTGATACAGGTCTAACCCTCAGAAAGGCTGGGAACGTCTCCTTTTACAGAGGGCCCTCTCAAAAGGAAACCAAGCCACTGTAAATAATGTGTCTGGGAAGAGAAGGCAAACCTCTGAGCATTCCCTTGCCTCCACTGCTTGCTCAGTTACACTGCATCTTTCTTTTGAAGCCAGGCAAAGTTACCCTCTCTGCTTTCTCATTCTGCTCTCCAGCCCAGAGACCCTGCTGTTTTGCTAATCTCACTGCCTGAGACTGGGATTAAAGTTGGATTAGCCAGGCAGATGAATGAGTGGGGCTCCAGACCCTCCACATTTGGTGTTTGTGCTTGCCTCATTTCCCCAGCTCTACCTGGGCATCCAAGGGAAGAGAAGGGAGTGGATACAGAAAGGGTCATTCTGTCCCTTCCCAAGTGCCATTCCCAGAGTTTACACAAAGTCCTGCTACTGATACAGAGCACAAATCATATTTATACAGACAATTGAAATGGTTTTAGGTATGTGTCCTCAAATACAACAAAATTAACTTCTTCCTTTAAAAGCTCTCCTTGCTATTACTGCTTAAATCAAGGACTCAAGGTACTGCTTATCCCAAATTGAAATTAACAGTTTGAATCCAGTTCGTGGCTGATGAAACTGGATTTTCAGTCTGGATTTTAAGGAAGAGCAGGCAGTTCCTTCCAACATGAGCCAAAAGAAGTCATTGGGACAGTTTGTACAAAGAGGCATGGGACTCTTGGAAAGCTTAGTGACCTTGATCCAGCATTCCTGAGCACATGCTTAACTCACCCCAAAGTGTGTGCTGAAATGCTTGGCTGAGTAAGAATGGGCTTAATCACATGCTTAAACACTTACTGCATGAGCACTTCAGAGATTAAGATTGATTAGGTCCTTCTCCTACCTGTACCTCATACCTTTGTGAAAATCTCATTTCTGAGGCCATGAAGCTCATAAGGAGACACAGAGAACACATTTTTCAACAGGTTGCAAATTTTCCAGCTTCCTGCCCCTTGACCACAGAAGACTTGACCTTTTAAAGGGAGGATAAAACAATTTACTTCCAAGGCCTGATGTCATGAACCCCATCACGAGGTCAGAGTCCAAGTCATACGGGTTTTCCTTCAGTATTGTCAAGGAAGTCTTAGTTCCCAGGACTTACAACTCCTTTAAAACAAACAAAATCCAGATTTTCAGAGCTTGGCTCTGTGAAATAAAGTTGCTAATATTAATATACTTTATTGATCTTAAAGGAATACAGTATGGAAACAAAGGCCATTAACTGAGAGGCTCTGTTTACATCCAAAAATCACACAGCATGAAAGGAGTGAAAGGAGCAGATCCAAACTCAGGTCCCCACAAACTGAGGGCCCCACAAGAACAATGTACAAAGTTTACTTCAGCCTAGACTTAGTCTGGTCCCCAATGTCATTTGGACCAAGCCTGTCCATATTTTTTGACTGGAAGCTGTTCCAGGCAGCCATCACTGGGTCAGATCCCCAGATCCTGCTCAAGGGGAAGCACATTTGCCCTGCCCTGGTCAGTGTTCTACCAGAGTGCTCCAAAACTGCTCTGCTGCCCCAAACAACACTGGTCAAGTGGAGATGATCATGGTACACACTTCCAGCCTGCTCTGTTGCTCCAAACCAAGGCACAAGTGGAGACACGGTCAGATGAAGAGAAAAACTCCCCAAGGGCAGCTAATTCCCAAGGCAAAGAACAGTGGAGGCACTCAGGCTCTAGGATGGTTCATTTGGTTTGTCACCAGATTTTCCTGCAGTTTATAAGCAAATGCAGGGTGTAAAATTGCTGCCCAACAGTGACTCCCAAGGTAGATTCATTATGGACTGAAGTCATGAGGAACACACATGGTTGTGTCCATAACTGTATTGGTGGTACAGGGGATGATGTTCACCATAACAGAGGATTTAGAGTGCCTGCCTGAAAGGGTGGATGAATTTATTGTGCCAGAGGACAAGAGTGACCAAAACCATGTGTCCACAGCCTGGATAAATGCATGTCACCATCAGCCAAGCGTGGAAAGTGAACTTCTTGGCAAAGCAATGCAAAACTGGCCTTCAGCAGAAGTTGGGAGGGCAAAAGACTAATAAATATTAGAGTGAGGAAAATTCAATTGCATAGACAACTCCCATTAGTTACTTCAGAGGAACACAGGAAATGGTCTGCT